GCATTCCTGAGACATCAATGCATCAAACCGGGTATTCTCCACCTTGGGTCCCACAGTAAACAGACAAACCCCAAAACATATTGACATGTTGGTGTTTCTGAACAAAATCCAGTAGGCTTTAAGTTTCCATTTTGTTTACCCGTTGAGGTTTTGATTATTAAGATGAGAATGGAGGAAGAGGTTTCTGTAACAGCGCTCTCGGCACTGGAGATTTCAGTGTGCGTTTGCATTAATCTCAGTGTTGAAAGTGGGCCTGTACGCACTTCTGCATTTTATTCTTTGGCATATCGGCACTTCTCACAAGCTGCTGGCACTCTTTTCTGCCCTCTCCGCTAGACAGTGGATGCCCTCAGATGCCGGAGACAAAGAGCTCCACCAAAAGAGAGCTGTCTTCCAACAGAAACAAAAATAAATAAATAAAATAAAATGGAATGAAATTTCCGTTTAGGTGGTCCCAAATATCAACAATCATATTCGACTTAGTTACATATGATCAGTTCAGATTGTAAGACAAAGTAAATATAAATTAAAATTAAAAGCCAGAAAAGTATGACACCCCCCTGACTCGTCTGTTTCTGTCCTACACTACTGCTCCCAGGGCACAGAAGTCGCTGTTCTTTGGTTTAGTCTTTGCTGTACCTCCAGTTTTCAGACAAATACAGTATAGGCTATGAGTGTGTTCTGTTTTACCTTGAACAGCACTTTGAAAAGATGCAATATTTGTGGCTTGCATCGAATACAGTATCACACACCCCTAAAGCTATTTTACCAGAGTGTTTACTCCGTTTTACAGTTCTACAGGTGTGTGATGCGACGTGTTCAGTTCAGTTCATGTTCTGTTATGTCATATTTGCACATGTAAAAATAAACCCCTTATGGAAACAGTGTTATTTTTTTATGAGTCAAAGACACTCAATCTGTTGGTTAATGGTCGAGCATGGATCATCAGTCCCAAAAAACTGAAAATGTGCATTCCTGTCTACCATACATAGAAATTCACCCTGGTGGTGGCCTTAGTCTGTACCAGTCATTTGAGTTTTAAAGCTGAAATGAACTATGAATAACCCTTAATAGTCACTTTCGGCTCTTCCCGTTTAGGGGTCGCCACAGCGAATCTTCACACTGACGACTTGCATGTTGACATTTGGCACGTGTTTTACGCCAGATGCCGTTCCTGACGCCACCCTGATTCGAACCTGAGCCGCAGCGGTGAGAGCGCTGCGCCTTAACTACTAGCCTAACAGGGACTGTTATGAATAACCCATAATAAAAAGATTAAAACATTTAAATTGATTTTCCTGACTGTAAACTTTGAATGAATGCTAAGACTTTCAAATCATTTTCTCCTTTGAGACTACATTGCTGCAGTGTCACCAAATTGCTGATTTCCACTGTAATTAGACTTCGGTTACTGGCAAAGCATTTCAGCACCTGCAGCTCTTACAGTAAGTCATGTTTCTTGAGACGCTCACGTCTTAATTGATGGATAGAAATCCATCAATCAACCATACATGCAGTTCTGTTGTGGTGTTTTCATGGATACAGAAGGGGAGGTGGGAAGCCACAGCAATGATAGTGTAGCAATATCTCCTAGCATGAAGAGTGTTTTCAGTCAAAGGTAAATGGGGCATAATTTTGTTGCCATGGTAGCGGTACTGCTTGAGGCTTATTTATTTTTTTACAATCCCCATACAAAAGAAGATGTGCTGTTTAAAATGGGGAACAATGCATAGAAAAGAGACAGTGACTGTAGAAAGAAACCTGGCCTAAGATGTATTTTGCTTTATTACAAAATAAATGATGGATTTAAAACACACATTGAGGCCTGTTTCAGATTAAAAGAATTCACTTCCTGACCGTGGTTCAGCACAAAGCAGTGAATGACAGTTCAGTTCTTCTCACACTGATACTACCCTTGGAGAAATTATGTTCTCAGAATACAGATCTGAAAAGGGGCCCACCTTTGGCGTTTTTAAACCGGAGTTGGTTTGACAAAGACCCAAACACCCCCACACTCCAACACGCAGCACAGCAGCAACAGCAGCAGGTGATAGCTGGCAATGGGCTAAAGACTGTAAGACAAAGTCATGAATTGTGTGAAAGTAGCTGCAGAAAAGTCTGTCCATCACTGAAACACAGATGTTAGTGTTCATTTCAGTCTTCATGTGTTCAAGTGTGAAAAACCTGAATGGAAAAGGGGAAAAAAAATGCAGTGATGAACTCCAACAGACTGCAGCGTTGGTTCAGGAGGAGGTCGGTAAATTTCCATTAAGATTCATTTGGAAATTTCTAGTGAACATTGTCTCCTCCTGATTATTAAGATGAAGCATTTGCAATTATTGAACAGTTATAAGAAATATCACCTTTACACCAGAGCTTTAGACTAACTTGGAGTTAAGAGTTTAGATTTTGAGTTGATTTTCCTCAATCATGATGAATAA